TCTCGTGAATATTTAGCTATTATTCCTTTAAATCGCAAATACAATATATAAAATTTCATCGAAACATATATAATTCAACAATTTGACAAAAATATATATATTTGGCAAAATAATATAATTTGTCAAAGCGATATAATTTATCAAAGTAATATAATTCGGAAAAGATAAAATATATACAATATGTATATTTGGCGCAAAAAATAAATTATTCATTTTACTGTCGAAATAGTAACTTCTTCAAAATGAGGTTTAAAAAAAGTGTACCATTTATGTGCCGAATAAATTATACACCGCTTTATAGCCAAAGATAAAAGTTATATAATTTTGATTAGCCAAATTATATACTTTTTTGATGAATGATTGATGAGTGGCATTATGCCAAATAAATCCATTTCGACTAGTGTAAGTAGATATTTATAGTTGCTTTGTATTATATAATAAGATATATTGTTTTAAACTTTCTTTTTAATATTAGTTATATAGTTAATATAAACGAGTTAGTATTTAATTTATTATATTAACATATAAGATACAGTATATTGTTTTTTTTATAATATATATCTTGTTATATACAAACCAAATAAAGAAATGATGTTTATTTATAAAAAAAAAATACAAATGTCAAGTTTTTTTTAATATAAATTATTTAAATTTAAAACTTTTTATTTTATAAATTTATATTAATTTAATTAATAAAGGTTTTTTTAAGTATAATATTATATTGAATATATATTAAATATTTAATATTTTAATATATAAATATTATAAGAAATTCAATAAATTTTTTAAAATATAAAAAAACAAAATTATTATTAGTTTGTATCAAAAATATAAAATTGTATTTGTTTAAATTCTAATTTTTTTTAATTATTATTAATTTACAACACATATATACAGTATATATATGGTTTCATTTAAATATTTAACAATCTTATTATTTATTTTATTTAAAAAAAAGAATCTATAAATTAATTTTTTGGTTTATTTAAATTTCAAAAAAATTTTATTAAAGTTCTATTTAATTTATTTTCTTTAAGAGATCAGTATAAAATAATTGTTATATTGATATTGAAATTGTTAATATGAATATAATTCTTAATTTACAATTACTTTTAATACTGCCATGTTGTTATAAAAATCTAAATTATAATTTCAAAAATCAACAATTGACAATTTCTTCCAATTACTATCATCAAAAGTATATACTGTATACACAATTAATAGTATAATTAAATGCCAAAAATATTATTATTATTTAATAGACTAGCATAAAAATTATGGTGCCTAATGTAATACTGGATAGTTTATTTACTGTATATCAATAATATTTATGTTTAATGTCTATGAAAATAAAATAGAAAATGGTTTTTTAAAAAAATTGCTTTGTGGTTTCTTTCTTTTGTCTTATGCGAGAACTAATAGCAATTCCAATAAGGAAGCGGAATTGAGAAAAAGAAAAAAGGATTTGTTTTTTTGGCCACTTGTGAAAATTCATACGTCAATTTCTTTTGTTTAAAGTAAGATTGTATGTAAACAGGAGAATTATAACTTATTGTGTATATTTATTTTGCACTAAATTGGTCACTTATTGTCGTATATGCCTTTGTTTTCTAAATTGGAGTTACATTCCATAGCGCGTGATGGATGACACATTCTTTAATAAAGTTCAAAACAAGCAATCGACACGAGTCTACCCGATTGAGTCGACAAGCAATCGACATGAATTCTCCGCCTTCGCCCGAAATCCTAGTTGTTACTGCACAAAGTAAGGACACAATCGTATGAATAATACTTTAAATTGTGTGCGTATGCGAGATGTGATCTTGCGCTTGACGTTCGTGCTTTTAAACTTCACATGAATTTGTTTGCTATTACTGTGTATCATCAAATTTCGGCATTCAACGAAAGCTGTGTCACATAATGCTTGGGAAAACGTATGACATATAAAGTTTAACTTTCACCAATTATTCACTCTTCTTCCTTTATTTTCTTTGATCAAAATGAGTACACGTTTCACTCCCCTAGTAAAAGATAGATGGACCAAAGAGGTACTGTATGTCGCTTAAAGAATTATTTAATGCCATATCACTCTCTCACAAATATCCATTCTTACAGGACACGTTTCTTTTAGTAAAATCGTTAAACTTGTATCAAGGAAATTTCAAGAAGGCTGCTGAAGTTGTGGGACGTCCTGCTCACGAGTGCCGTAAAAAGTAAATATACATTTGAAAGCCTATGTTTTTGTACTATTGCTAATACAGTCAAATTATTTTTCTAGGTGGTCGACAGACCTCAGGCATTTGAGTGAGTATTATTAAAATCAAGAGCTTTGACGTATGCGTTTTTAATTATTCATTAAATCTATGATAAATAGCAACCTTCCCCGTGAGAAGTCGCCCTCGTGGAGATTTGCCGAGAGTTCCCAGATCATCCCAGGGATTTTCTACCTTAACTACAATGAGCACCTCCATGTAAGGATCTGATTTGTTTGTATCTATAATGGAGATTGAATGTTCATTATACTTTATCGACTAATCTATCTCGGAAATCATCCCAAAATAGTCAGAACACAGAAGAAACCGGAAATAATCTAAATCCCAATAACATGCAAGGTATGATATCCTGGTTGCTTCATAGGTGAACTACTGTACAAATATCTTGTTTGTTATAACCAATTTTGGATTCTTACTTCTTCCTTAGGACATTCATTGTGTACAGAATACACGTAAATGTTAATTAAAAGAGAATTATCTCTATTTTTTTTACTTTCTTGGGGGACGACTCAATTCACAAGTAGCGCCAAGAAAAAACGGGAGTGTTTATAAAAAAAAAGGAGGAACCTTTTTTACGCCGTACCACGAAACTTTGAAATTTTTATTTACCACCCTTTACTAAATACGTATTTCGTCGCCGTTACAAAATACAGTTTGAGTTGTTACCCCAGGATCATTATTTTACCCATGAACACAATTTCACCCTTTTAGAAGAGATTTTCCTAGAAAATACAATTACCGTTTTCTTACGAAAGGTTCCCACGAAGGTTTTCCTTTTTCGAATAACAAATACACACACGCATATAATTACGCTGTTACATAAAGTAAACCTTTTTCTTTCGAGAATGTATTGCAACTCATTTACTGTAATACCAATTTACAGTAAATATCCTTTATTGTATTTATACTTCGTTTTAGCTTTACTCATACTATTTTAACTTTATAATTTTCGTAACTCTATGAATTCTTTATCACTTTTTTCTCCATAACTTTTCCAGAATTAACCAGTTGTATAATTTTTATTATAGTAATTGACTTTATTCTTTATGCGAAGCTTAATTGTTGATGACGGATAGTACTACGTCGTGTGTGGAAAATTGTAACGCAATGGTGTAAATGACACATTAGGTGATTTCATGTGATTAGTGACATCATGTAAAGAATACTGTATACAAATTTATTATTCGTTTCAAAATCATATCATAATAAAAACGTCAAAGACTTTGTAAATAAGAAAAATTGGAAAAGTTGAAGTACGCATACTTATAAAAATTGTGGTATCGACTGAAAATTAAATTTACAAAAGTTAATCAAATTTCCTAAATTGATTAATACTTCTGAAAAAGATGTAAATGATTAAACTTATATCTTTTCCAAACTTAAAATCATAACCACCTGATATAGCCTATGATTTTAAAATCGAAATTTTAGCGTCTTCATTCTTATCACAAGATTTTAAAAAACCGTACATTCGATCATTGCATTTACCATTTCCGTTTTCGTCGCAAATGAATTGATGAATTCAGCATTTTGTTCAAAAAACTCCAATCTTATATGTAGCATAATATTCAGATTCTTGAAAAAATAAGCAATACAAATGAATAATCAATAAAATAATGACTGATAGAACACAAATAACAAATGCCATTAGCTGTCGTTTAACTTATAAATTATTTAACTTAGATAACCTTTGATAATTTAGACGTGTGATTCTATTTTGGAAGTTTCTTACAAAGGCATGATTACTCGAATACAAGAATTAGGATTATCGCAATGTTCACCTTTTTTTTGATTCACGAATAACACAACAATAAAAATAATTGAGGCTAAATTTCTCCTGTATAATTATGAGAATATGTTTGGTTTAATAGCTTAAATTTTTTAAAAAATTTTAAAAATTTATTCAGAGTATGATTACCTAATTTCAAATATACAGTCTGTTGCAAACGTCTTTGGACTCTTATTTTAGCTTATAATTCAATAACTAATAAATAATATAATATAATATTTACATACATATATATTATTTAAAGATTTTAAGATCAAAGTTTTTTAAAAAAATTTTTTATAATAACATAATAATAATATTAAAATTACATTTGAAAATAAAAAGTGCTTTGGTTGTTTTTTATTATCTCTAAAAAATTAATTATAAATTATTTTTATATTTTGCCAAAGACATTTGTCAAATAATAATTCATAATTCATAAAATACATATAATAATAATAATAATTTTTTTATTAGTGAAAATTTTTTATTTAAAAGTTATTTTATAATTTTTTAATATAAATTACATCAATCTTTTTAATTCATGACTAATATTTTTTAAAATAAAATTTTATCTGATAACAATAATTTAAATCTAATTTATTTTGTATAAAGCAATGATTATTTTTATAAATTTTTTTTGATAATTTTAAATAAAATTTTCAAGTAATCTTATTAATTACTTATTAATTATTATATTTATTACCTATTATATTTAAAAAATATTTTTTTTTATAATTCACTTATAACATTTATAATTTATCTATAAAATATTTAAATAAAAAAATTTTTCATCAATAAAAAAATTATGAAAAAAATATAAATATAATTTTAATAGTTATTATCTAATAAATTTATCTATTAAAATAAGTTAATAATTTTTAATAATTCTTTTATTGTTAATAAAAAATAATCATTGATTTTTAATAAGCTTCTTATTTTTAAATTAAATTTTATGGATAATCTTATTATACAATAAAATAAATTTTTTAAAAATAATTACAATATTTCAAATAATAAATATATAATAAATATATAATAAATATTGTTTTGTTTTATGAATTATTTACAAAATTATAAATCAAAATAAAAATTTTAAAAAAAGTTCAAAAACTTTTGCCACAGACTATGTAAAAATTTTATTTTTGTGCAAAAAAAAATTATATATTTTGATTTTAATAATATAAGAAAAAATTAGTTTAAATAATACTTTGATTTATAATTAAAGATCAATATCTTTATTATTATTATTATTAATTAATTAAACTTGATTACCTTATCTGTTATTAGAGATTCATTAAATTTGCGGTTTATACAATACCTTAAATTTAAATTCACTCAAATTAGATGTTGATTATTTAATTATTGAAAAAAAAAAAAACTTCATGTTACATGTATAGACATGTATTCTCGTTTTCCTTCCTGCAGTATTAGCTAATAAATTATTTCTGAAGAATGCGACATGCACTAGGAAACAAAAATCCGATTGGTTATCTAAAAAGAAGTTATCAAAGAAGAATTTGAAGAATTCAGTTTGTGATCACAGGGAATCGGAAAATCGGAAAATCGGAAAATTTTCTAATTTAAGTAAACAGATAATCTATTTTTACCAGATTCCTAAATTTCCGACTTTTTATTTTGAAACACACGCGATTCTAATTATTAATCGTAAGAACATGTAGAACAATGTACCGTTATATAAATAAAGCGGAATTTTTCCTAAAATTACGTCACAATACTTGGTCTGTGTCTACTGTATTTAAAATCTCCCTCTCTTCCCTTAAGAGTTTGTCCTTTCTTCAGTCAAAATGAGCACCCGGTATTCTCCCCTAGTAAGAGACAGATGGACTCAGAGGGTATGTTGCCGAACCTTAAAGAAATATTTAACATAACACCTCTCTTACATAGAGTGTACTTTATTATAGGACACATTACTTTTAGTTGAATCGTTAAACCTGTCTCAAGGAAATTTCAAGGAAGCTGCCGAACTCTTGAGACGTCCTGTTCACGAGTGCCATAAAAAGTAATCATTTTTGACATATACAATTGAGGAAAATTTGCAGGTTTATATTTTGTATTATAGACTAAATACTGTTAAATTATTTTTTTAGATGGTCGACAGACCTAAGATCCTCGAGTGAGTATTACGCATACGTCTTACGCCGATCAAAAGCGTTGATGAAAAATACGTATGCGTTTCTAACCACCATTGAATTTTGTGATTGATTAATAGCAAACTTTCCCGTAAGAGGTCCCACCCGCAGAACTTTCCCGGGTGTTCTTAGACCAGTTCCTAGACCAGTTCCTAGACCAATTCCAGGATTCACTAACACGGTAACAATAATAAGCTCCAAGTAAGGACTCGATTTTCTAAAATTTGTTTGTAGCTTGAATAGATAGGAATATACATTATATACATTTTACTTTATTAACCAATCCTATCTCGAATATCGCTTCAAATAGTCTGAGCATAAGTGAAGAATACGTTCGCATTAAGCAACGGATGAACATTAGTAATATATTGAATCCTGATGACATATAAGTATGTATTTTGTTTTCTTTCATGGATAAATTGCACGTGTTCCCGTTTTTAATAACCAATTTTTTGATCTTTTCTTGTTCATAAAACATTTGTCGTGTGCAGGGAATAAAATAAGCAAATGCTTATCAAAAGGAAAGGAATAATCCTCCATTACCTGCGTTCTCAGAGGACAACTGATCATGAGCGTACTGGGAAAAAAAAATGGAAGGCTTTATTCATCTTACCGCGAACTTTTGAATTTCATTTCAAGTTCTTTACTACGTAATTCGTTGTTACAAGTTACCGTTTAAGATCCATTATCGGGATCCTCGTTTTGTATTATAGCCTTTAATACGATATCTATTTTCTCACGAAATTTTTCCTCATTCGAACACTACACTCACAAACACGCATTCAATCAAGTCGGTAAATAGAAATCACAAACACGCATTCAATCAAGTCGGTAAATAGAAATCACAAATCGCATTCAATTAAGTCGGTAAATAGAAATCACAAATCGCATTCAATTAAGTCAGTAAATAGAAATCACAAACCATCAAATCGGTAAATAGAAATCACAAATCGCATTCAATTAAGTCGGTAAATAGAAATCACAAACCATCAAATCGGTAAATAGAAATCACAAACACGCATTTAAGCAAGTCGGTAATAGAAAATGCAAACACGCATGTAATCGAGTCATAGATAACGAACATAAACACGCATATAATTAATCCGCATATAATACATTTCATAGCCCATAAGATTCCTAGAATGATATCAATAAAAAGATAAATTAAATTTTTCATTAATAGAATATCATTGCCGACGAATCCTTATGTGATGCTTAAGAGACCTTGATGCTTTTAACAAAATATTACCTGCTGTTGAACGTAAATGCATTCTGCAAGCGTGGAACGGAATAATGTAAACGGTGCATGTACACCTGGTAACGCCACCAAAATTCCCCATACAATGAAATCTCCGTTATGTATATTCGGTAAATAAGATTCAACTCGTTATTATAGTACGTTTGTAATATACTATATACAGTATATCAATATTGCAGTACATTAAACTTGAGGTTTCATCAGAAATCAGTCTTCTCCGCTTTCGAGAGTTTTCTTGTCATGTATCTATTAATAAAAATTCCAGGCTTTGCGATTGAAGAGATAGAAAATATTGTGTAGACAACAATGTATATACGATAAAAAGCAAAATTCTATAAGTTCATAACCAAAAAACTTTCCTAATTTAACTGCTAATTCTCCAAGGAGTACACTTGCATCCGTTTTTTTCTTAAAGCCGAAACCAACTTCTACACCATTCTTACCGACCGATATGCCCATAAACACTTTATGCGTTCCATCAAACTTATATGATATCAGCCTTAAGCATTCCTTTGAGAGTTGTACTTGACTCTTCGCCATTGATTGTTCATTGTAACATCTAAATTAACTATTCGAGATGAGGTCGGTTTTTGATGTAATGACTGTTTCTATTCGAGATTTATCAATATTTACGCAATATAAGGCTCGAATTCGTTTTTTCGTCCAATTGGATACCCACTTGCTGCACGACACATTTGCTGCATATAAATCACGATTTCCATGTAAATACTCTCGCTCAATTCCTCTTGTTCTGGCCGAAATTCGTGCAAAATTCTGAGGGCTGTTTTAAACCTTACATTCTCCTTTTTATTTATTTGAAAAAAAAAAAGAAAATTTTGAGATTACATGAAATATTTATTATATTATCTGACGGGGACTATCTACGCCCATTCTGGAAAATAATAAAAAAAGCAAGATAGATAAATTTAGCGTGTGAAGCAAAAGGTCTACTAGTTACTTTGTGATAAAGTTCAATTTCCACAAAAGTGTTCTTTACATGACTTTGTGTTAGTTAAATTTCCACGAAAGTGTTCTTTACATGACTTTGTGATAAAGTTCAATTTCCACGAAAGTGTTCTTTACATGACTTTGTGATAAAGTTCAATTTCCACAAAAGTGTTCTTTACATGACTTTGTGTTAAAGTTAAATTTCCACGAAAGTGTTCTTTACATGACTTTGTGTTAAAGTTAAATTTCCACGAAAGTGTTCTTTACATGACTCTGTGATAAAGTTAAATTTCCACGAAAGTGTTCTTTACATGCATAGCTTGCATTAATATAGAAAACTTTCTCTCGAAACCTTCTCGATTTACAAATACGCAGTAGAATGGGCATTGAGTAAATGTTACACTCGCCACATTGATCTCATAAGAGATTGTATACTGCCGAAAACGGTGCCTTTGTACATTATAGAAAATCTGTACAGTATATGGTAACGGAGTTTACTTCCGGTTCAACAAAATTAACAATGTAATGTTTAATGATTCTAGAATACATTATTATCATTGTCATTATTATATAATGAAATTAAAAGTTGGTTATAAAAAAAAAGTTTTTTAATGAAAAATAAAATTTTCAACATACAGAAAGACCGCAATATCGGAAAGAAAAAAACATGAACAGTACGATAGCAGTTGGTTTTTCAATCACTTTAGAAAAAACAAAAAAAAATTTCAAACAAGTGTTAACATAAAATAACTAACTAACTTTATTTAAAAACAAACAATTTTTTCATATATATTTGAATTAAAAATAATTTTTTTGATTTTTTTTTATCAATATTATTGATTATTCTTATTTTATTTTAAAATAACTCGAAATTCTATTATTATATTATATTTATCAATAAGGTAGAATTCTAGATGTTCTTAAATATTAAGCTTTTCTATAAAAGGCTCATTTGATGACTCATATTTGTGAAACGCGTCATTTATGCTATTGGATGATTGTTTCCGATCAATTCCGTATCCAATGGGTACGTTAAAAACTTTTTAATCAGATGATACGTATTTTCTATCCTAAAAAAAAATCAGATGGCGCAAAATGGACAGAGATGATGATGACTATGCATCACTACAGAATTGTTCTAAAGAAAATAGCATATAGGTACAAATTAAAGATTAAATGTAATATGTGAAATAATATCATACGTCATAAACTGATATTAAACCGAATTCTGTTCTCGATGGAAAAAATAATAGAACATAGATAACGAATTGATTATGTGGGTGGGTGTTTTATTTTTAACTATCGGCGTTTTGTGTTTGTGTTTGCGTTTGTTATTCGAAGGGGAAACTTTCATATGAAACTATCGATTGTTTTTTTTTTAAAAAAAAAAATCACACTCGGAGTGAATTTTTGCGCATAAATATTTAGTCGATAAAACAAGGGTTCCTAATAAGTACCCTAACCGATAACCGGTAACGAAGAGGTCGTAGTGAAGGAAGGATGGGTAACTTGTAATAAAAATTTTGAAATTTCTTATTGTTTCGTATTTTTTTAAAAAACGTAATCCATTCATTCATTCATTCATTCATTCGTTCGTTCGTTCGTTCGTTCATTCATTCATTCACGGTATGTAAATCCATCATTCATAGTTAATTTTCTTCAAGTGGGAAGCAAAGAATAGGATTGATGGATGGATGGTCTTTCTTCCCTTTTGATCACACTTAGTCCTATGGACGAAAAAAGATTCAAAATTGATTATGAATAAAGTGTGCTGCAGTTCATACATGAAGGAAACAGAATATTGTACCATGTATGCGTCATTGGGATTCAATATATTGTCAATGTTCATCAGTTTCTTTATACGAACATATTCTTCGTTTGTGATCGGACTATTTTTGAAGTGATTTCCAAGATGTCGGTTATTTTGTATACATTCAATAACCATTATTAGCTATAAACAAATACAATATTAAAAACCAAGTCATTACCTAGAGACGCTCGCTACTGTTAGCGTGTTAAGAAATCTTGGGGCTGGTCTGAGAACACTCGGACGAGTTCTACGAATGGGACGCACTCTTACGAGGAAGTTTGCTATTAATTAATCATCAAATTCAATAATGATTAAAAAGCGCAAACATATTTTTCATCAACGCTCTTGATCGTTGTAAGATGTACAGTATACGCAATACTCACTCGAGGATCTTAGGTCTGCCGACCACCTAGAAAAATAATTTAACCGGTATTTAGTCCATAATACAAAATAGAAATTCGCAAATTTTTCTTAAATGTATACAGTGTATGTCAAAAATAATTACTTTTTGTAGCACTCGCGAACAGGACGTCCCAAGAGTTCGGCAGCCTTCTTGAAATTTCCTTGAGACAGGTTTAACTCTTTAATTAGAAGTAACGTGTCCTATATAATAAAGTGTACTTTATGTAAGAGTGGCGTTGTGTCAAATAATTTTTTTAAGGTTTAGTAACATACCTTCTCGTTCCATCTGTCTTTTACCAGGGGAGAATACAGTGTACTCATTTTTGATCGAAGAAAGTCAATTTCTCAAGGGGAGAGAGGACGATGATTTCTAAGGTCTATATATACGTGTAGCATGAATTAGTGACGTAATTTTGACAATGTCGCAATCTTAAGATAACAATCGATAAGTATTGTTGCTAGCCGAATGATGGTCTCGGGATACGCTAGGGCAGCGATTCAAATAATCGGAGGAATACATGCACGGTCAGTTGTTTGTGCATAGTGTTTCAACTATATTAGGGTAAAAAATATGCAATAATAATATTTTTTTCTTAATCAGTAGTATTTCTTAAATCATCCACATCACACGATACACTGATTTTTTTTTCTCTCAAATCATCGATACCGGTTTTTTCTTTTTTTTCACAACTCATTGATTTTTTTTCTTTCCAAATAATCATAATCTACTGGTTTATTATTGTTTTTTTTTTTCTCCCAAATCATTGACATTTTTTTTCTTTTCCAAATTCGTCGACATAATATACTGTTTTTTTTTTCCCAAACCGTTCTTTTTGCCATTTCTTTTTTTTTCGATTTATCGACATATCACTTTTCGTTCCCAAATCGTCAACAGATATATACACTATATGTATATTTTTAAAATATTATTTCGTATATACTGTAATTTATTATTACTTTTAATTCAATAAAACAACTACATCATCAAGACAGCCGTATATTTATCATTGGTTACTTGAACAGTGTAACTCGCGAATATTACGCAAAACGTCTATTTCGTGCCATGTACATACAGTATTGCTAATTTTATGGTACCACGGGGTTGGGGCTTAGCTTACGATCATACCTTTTATTTAAAAAACTCGCCAAGTAATCACATATTTTTCATTATTGATTAAACATACAATATAATACATCATATTTTACATATCTTATTCATCATGTGGGATGGAAAAAAAGAGAGAATGATAACTTTCTCCGTTTTCGACTTTCTCCGGAGAAGAGCGGAGTGAAGGTGTGCAAACAAACAATACACCTTGAAGTTATTATTAAAGTATTTAAAATAGTAATCTATAAGGGTAGATAAGTTCTTGTCCGTTAGAGAAACCTAAGGGATTTTCGGTTTAAGATGCTCATACAGTAATTCCTTTTATAAGAGTTATCCAAATTACCTGAATCGATTCCGGTGTTACTACAAATTTGGTATCGTGAGGTGTTATTCAATCTCCCCGTATGGTTATAAACAAACAGCATTTTACATTACCGAGTATGCATACATACTTGTGTGCGTGCATTTAATGCAACTGGAACATGTCTTCGTCTTGGGAAATTTACTCTTACAGGAAAACTTGCTATTAAAATAGACAAACAATTAACAATGCGTATTTTCCAATAAACACTCTCGGTTAGCATAATACTCACTCACGTCCCTCAGATCCTTTTTCCACCTAAGGAAGAAATTAACAACGATGTCAAAATCAAAAAAAAAAAAACGGGTTAAAGCTTGACCTTGTCAACTTAAGAATAATTACTTTTTATGGCACTCGAAAGCAGAACGCCCCACAATTTTGGCGGCCATATTGAAGTCTCCTTGGTGAGTGTTTAATGAGTCCACCAATAAATTTATGTCCTGGAGAAAGACAAAAACCATTAAGTCATGGTTGTCAAATAACTTCTCATGAAGCTAACGACATACATTCTGGATCCATCCATCTTTCACAAATGAAGAATGTCGTTCGCTCATTTTATTCAAGAGAAATGTAATGGATGAGAAGGAGAAGGGAAGGGAAGGGAAGGGAAGGTAGAAGTGATGGGTAGACGACATGGTTTTATACCAAAATACATGTATAAACAACAGACTTGCTTTGTGTTCTACATTCGGATGGATTTCAAAGTGATATCAAGTTTATGTCATAATTCTGACAAATGTATTGTCATGCGAGAAATTTTCCGTTTTTGCTTTTTTTTCGGTTTCGAATATGTACAACATAATTTTTTATTTATTACCGTAAATTGATTTCATCCAACTTTCAGGCTCAATACAATGCATTTTTTATGACGTCTATTTGATGTATTTAATTAGAATTCGATCCTGATTTGACAAATTTGACTGTGTGCTGCATTTCTCAGAAGAATCAAAAAATTTGGAGACAATAACATTAATTACTCACGAGGTATTTATAAGAGAAAAAAAAATTGAAGCCTTCTTTGTTCCAGATGATGAAATTGGTTTATCATCTTTCTACTTTGTTAAAATTTTGCAAAACTTACATGGAATTCTAGAATGATTTTACACTTCTATGAGAAATCGTTGTAGAATTTCGGTGCACTGTTCTAGAAGTGATTTCGTACTACCGAAAGAATACGGTAATCGATTACTCATTTGAATCGTGCGACAACCATTTTTTCCTTTAGAATGATGAAATGTTCATTAGTCCATCACCAACTCATTAGGTATTTAATCAAAGAAAAAGGTTCTTCCACGCGGAACTGCGGGTTAACTCGTGTAACTTCAATATTTCCCCATTTGGTTAGTATAGCATTCAATCATCCCATCGTTTACTTATCTCGTAGGAATTTATTGCAAAATAATACATAGAGTATCATACACAGTACAACAAAAAAAACTAGTTATTTCTTTTTTACCGGAAGTAATACATATCTTAGTTTCTCCTCTTTATTTCTTGTGGATATACTTTGGCCGGTGTGTATATTTTGAAGTTTTCTTTATCAAAATTTTTGCCAATTAACGGAAAATAACAAATCCCCACAGTTAGATTTTCTATTTCTTCATCGTCCCATTGACCTTTCATGTAATTTTTTTGTATTTTCGAATTTGGAGAAAACCAACAATACTCTATTTTCGGTTCTTGAACCGAAAATCGAAAGTAGAATAACCTTACGGTATCTCGTATAATCTCGGGTGACAATCTTTCAACCTCCTTTTTCTTTTCCATGTCTTTGATCGTGCGATATTGATCCATCCATTGATTAAGTTGTTCGGAAGCTGATGTGATAAATTGATGTTCCATGAATCCGTTTTCATGATTCTTCATTTGTGAAAATCCTCGATTTCCAAGTGTGGCGTTGATTAGTTGACGTAACTTTATTGATGACACCCTGGTCGCCTCATCATTCCCTAATCGTTCCGCCGAAAAACTTTCTAGCAAATCAGATAATTCCTTTCTCCTTCCAGCTATTTCCGATTCAAGGGATCCACCCTTGGAAAAAAAATCTTCTGCAAGGAAGAATATACTTTTTATCACATGAAATTGCAATGTGGCCTTAATTAGAAGCCTATCTGGTCCTCGCGGGCCGGTTTCGCATTTATAATATTCCAAGATTTCCTTTATTTTCTCTGAATTAATATTCACTCCAATCTTTAAATTTGTCACATAATCTTCGATCATGTCTTGTAACTTTTCAATGTCGTTCTTGAGTTGAACCGCGTTGTTTTGATCATCATCGCCCATTTGAAAATTTGTCGCTTCACCTAATGCCGATTGGTAGTGGGAGGCTTCTTCCCTCAATTCTGAATTGTGTTTCCTAAGACTGTGAACTTCTACTTCCTTCTCCTTGATCAGCTCCTGCAGGCTTTTAACAACAAGGTCTTGGGCTTGTCTGTTTTCAAGATCACGAATTTTTTCCTCCTTTTCTTCATTGATCGCCTTCAAACTTTCGATGGTGCCTTGAAGGTCGAGGATTTTCTGATTGGACTCCCTGCCTTCAATTGTGACAGCGTTGTGCAATGATTGTAACTCGTTAGTCAACGATCGTTTTTCCTCCTCCAATTTTTTATTTTTCACCTCCAAGATTTGATTTCTATTGGTTAGTTCATGCAACATGGACTCATGATCTTTACAAGAGTTCCTCCTGAAAGAAAATCCTGCTGTTCCGCCTTTTGTTACGGAATAGCCTGAAGTGGGAAAATTATTTGCCATTTCGAAGTTTGGATGTTGGGAATAATTTTCTTCAGCTAATGAATTGGTGGTGCTGACTCCATAAGTGTAAGCCTTTTTAGGATTATTGATACGATGACCATAAGCTTGATGGCTGGCTTCAACGTTTGAATATTGTGAATAATTTCCTTCGGCCGAGGAATTCGTTGTGGGTTCTCTATATGTATGAGGGTTTTTGTGACTATTTGCTACGAGAAAGCCCGGTAAAGGTAATTTATCCACGAATCTTGTGCGATGGCCATGTGATTGATAATTGGTTTCAGTGTTTGAATATTGAGAATGTTGAGAACTCGTCATGCTGCCTCTATAAGTACGAGAGTTTTGAGGGTCGTCACCATATATTCGTTTTCCTCGCTGTTCTTGATACATATCCATTTTGTTCGTAGCATATTGATTATTATTATTTTCGCTGTTCATAACATTTTTATCCTTTTTAGAGCTTTTCCGACCGCCGAATAAAAAATCAATCATTTAGAATTTCTTTTTCTTTTCTTTTCTTTTTTTAAGGTAGAAAAAAAAGTTCTCAGGGACTTATTTGACAGGAATTTAAGTTTTACTTTTAAACCAATGATGAGTCAATCCTTTTTTGTCCTAAGCGTGTTTTTTTATTTTTACAAACAGATCGTTACGTATTTTGGTCGATTGCATGAGAACCGATTCAGACGGATCATTCGCGAAAATAGTGAGTAGTTCGTGCGATTATTCATGGAATGAGCAATCCTTGCCCTCGCTCATTCAAAGAACAATGTTTTCATTGTCATGAAATAACAACAATAAACGCAACGGCGGATGTATGCGTGCTAAGGAATGGTCCGTGTAACCTATTCCATATAATGACGAAAGAGTTAATTATACCATTCAAAGAAATAATGGCATGTCATTAATGGAAACAATAGCACGTGATCTAAACACGGAAGTTAAATATATAAATATACAGTACATAGCAAGATAAGTAGAAGATAAAATTGGTCCTCCCGATAATTACAATCTCATCGAGAAAGATGTCTGAAACAATTGATTCCAAAGATATTCGCGTTGTAGCTGCCATCGGTGAGTTTTTCAAATCTCTGGAAGGGTGCATCCTAAGAAATCTTGCTAACTATCTTGCTAACACACACATTCAGACTTTGGCACGACTTATTCGGTGAGTACACCTAATTGTAGTATTTTGGGAGGCAAGGCATTCACTAAAATTTTAACATGACTGCGTTTGATCTTAGGGGTTTGCTTACGTGCACGCGAAAAATCCTCAAGAAATAAAAACCAATACAGAATGGCAGGTCTTTATTAATTTTAACCCATCTTTCGTGATCCCATTGAATTTTGAATGTCTGAATTAATTCATTTTTTTCGATGAAAGGACAATGACGGAAGATTTAAAACCCCAACCGTTCTACTTTATGACGAGAACATGGTGCTCAAGGAATGGGGACATCCAGCCTTGGCCGAACGACCTACCAGGAAAAAGTCGACAACTGGTGTTAGGCCGGTGGAATTATTCAAATTATACCTTGGAAGTTCGAATCATAAGCCTAAGCTTCCACCGGGACTTTATTACAAGCAAGCCATTAGTGACTATCTTGGCAAGATCGGCGAGAAATTAAAAACTTCTTTAAAAGTTTCGTGGCCTCGCCTTGAATTTTATCGCCAAGTCCTTCTGATATTCACGGTACAGTAATTGGCAAATTTCTTTTCGTGTGATAACGACCTTCAATGTGCGCGTGGTTCACTTAACCTTCCTGCTAGATCCCCGCTGAGTTTGACAGTAATGCAATCGGAATCATGCGAGAATGTGCTCTCAAAGCTAACTTGATAGAAGAGAGAGATAGTCAGAATTTGTTGTTTACCACCGAGCGTAAGGATACAGAAGATTTGACTTTCAGAATCAAAGTTTTATCTTTGGCGGGTTTATTAATTTCATCATCATTTTTTCAGCGGAAGCAGCTGCGATTCACTGTATTAAAACATTACCAGAACATGATTTGAAAACTGGAGGTCAGCAGATCTTCTCATTCTCTTTCAAAAAAAAAATTAAAAAATGGCTTATGCTAATAAGTAATTGTCTTTGTCTAGCGTCTTTCATGGTGGTAGACTGTGGAGGTGGGACCGTGGATTTGACTACAAGAAAACTATTGGCAGGTGGAAAACTCAGTGAAATTACCGAGCGAACTGGTGATTACTGCGGAGGTAGCTTCGTCGATCGAGAGTTCCTAAAATTCCTTGGAAAAAAGGTCGGAGATTCCGCCATTAAACTTGTAGAGGAAAATCATTATGGGCAGCTTCAATACATGGTCCAGGAATTTTGCCGACGTGTGAAAATTCCGTTCACCGGAAATCCTGATGTTTACAAATCCTTTGAACTGGACATCGAAGACGTTTGTCCGGTATTGATGCAATACGTAAGGGGTGAGGAAAAGGACAAGATGGAGGAAAATAAATGGGTAGTGATAATTGATTTCAGCGATGTCAAGGCAATGTTCGATCCGGTTGTGGATAGGATCATACGCCTAATACGGAATCAATTGGATTCATGCAGTGACTGTTCGGCAATGTTTTTGGTGGGGGGATTTAGTGAATCGAAATATTTGCAATCAAGGATTCACCGGGAATTTGATCGAGAAGTCGAAAATATCTCGGTGCCTACCCATCCAATCTCCGCAATTGTCAAAGGGGCCGTCCAGTTTGGACTTAAACAGGGAACAATCGTCGATAGAATACTAAAATGGACTTATGGTAGATACAGTACCCATCCTTTTCTTTTACAGTACAGCAGCACTGTATTCACTTAGGTTTATTGTTTACACTCTTTGTTCAACGCTTCCATAGGTACCGATGTCTGTAGGAATTGGCTGCCTACTGACCCTGAAGATAAAAAAATCGATGATAAGATTGTGACATTTAGTAGGTTGGCGAAAAAAGGAACTCGAATGACCGTGGACGATAAAGTGTACGGCATGTACACTCCGGGTTCCAAATTTCAGTCAAAAATGGGATTAGATTTATATATCACAGAAGAGGAAGATGCACAGTTTTGCGATGACTCTGGTGTTACCTTGCTTGGGAAATTTTCTATCGATCTTCCATTCACCGGTGACGAAGAGCGTTCGGTTATATATACTCTGCAGTTTGGCATGGTTGAAATTCTGGCGACTGCCATCAACGCTAGTACGGGTCAAAGATATATGACTACCTTTGACTTGGAATTTTAACTAGTTTATTATTGGCGGTTGAACTTGTCGATTGCTACATGCCACAAGCCCCTGTTTTTTCATTGAAAATCGAAATCTCCAAAGACATATTTTAATTGTAATTACAGCATATCTAAATATTAAAAATTTGGTAAAAGTCTCAAGAAAAGTTTGTACTTTAATTAATTAATTGAATGATTAAATTAGAAATCGATTCAGAGTTTAATAGGATTATTCGATTAAAATAGTTGCCATTACCGAATTTTTGGATGAACTTGTTAAACTTGTTTTGCATGCTATTGATGATACTTTATGTACACGTAAAATTTGTTATACTATACAAAAAAATTATGTTGTTTCACCCCGTTACTTCGATTACAGTAATAACATAACATTATATAAGATCATTACAAATCAGGTATTTGCTAGAGTTTTTCGACACCCGTTTTTTTTTATTCTTGTTTTTCGAGGCGCATAGAAACACCATCTTATTATAACAAGTAAATCCACGAGACTTAACAAATAACACATGCTTTATGTTATTGTTAAATAATATAACAATAATATACAATATATATATATATATATATATATATTTAATTATAATATAAATAAATAATGTATCGATTTTCAAATTTTTTTTTTAAGATAATAATTTATCTCTTAATCTGTAAAAATTTCCAAGTAAATTTGTCTGAAAATTTAATAATAAATTTATGATTTGTTTTTTTAAAAATATTTGAAATATAAAGATTATATTATAGCAGTATTTAATTTCATATATAAAAAAAAAATTTTTTTTAAATATTTATAAAATTAAAATATATTGATATTTTAAAGAAATTTAAACTAAAAAAATTATTTATTTATCTTTGATCAACTTTTTAAATATTAATTTAAATAAATTAATTTTTATATAATGTTGCAATTTATATAAAAGTTGATGATTTTTATTATTATATTTTTTTGTAATTTATTTGTAAAAATTAGAATTTATATTATGTTTTTATTTGCAAAATTATATAAAATTATAAAAAATTATAAAAAAATTTGTAAATTAAAAGTATTTTTATAAGATAAATATATTTTATATTATTAATAAATTGTTTTATTTAAAAAATATGATTATTTAATTTTGCAGGCAAAATTTGTTTGTAAAACAATTTAAGAAATAGAAATTTGTGTTGATAAAATCATATTAAAATTAAAATAAATACTTATACACATGTATACTGTATATACTATATATATATGTTGTATATAAAATAAAAACCATGAAAAATACAGTTTTTTAATTAAATAAAAAAATGTAATAAAAATCAAAATGAATAATAATTTTATTTGAAAGATATAGTATAAAGAATAAGTAAGATGAAACCTTGATGATGGTATTAATAAGAAATAATTAATATATGACATATCAATACAATATACTGTATTAATTATTATTTTTTTTAAAAAAATAATTTAATCATTGATTTTTTAATAAATGATTAAAGTTAAAAAGCAATTAAAAAATGCAATAATAGAAAAAATAGTAATTGTTAAAAAATAATTTGAAATCCTGTATGTACATAGTAAAAAGAATATTTTTAAAATGCCATGTATATTTGATAATGTTTATATGAAAAGGGATAAAATTATAAAAAATAATTATTCCAAAAAAATTTTTTTTTTTTTTTTTTGATGCGATATATAAATATTTCTATCTTAGATCTATAATAAATGGTTTAAATTTTTCTTAAAATCGTGTATCAACACCTTCATACATTATTACAATATGATTAATTTCATCTATCGTGATACCAGTTGCAGTTTCTGCCAAAAAACTTCTCGCGAAAACAAAACAGAGATAGGATGTGGAGATAGAAAACGAAAAGAAGAAATTTATTATAGCATGTCATCATAAGATAAAAGTACAAAATAGTTGCCTTTAATACTGAGTATTTTTCTTATATTGTGAAGAAAAAAGATTAACTTAATTATGCACGCCAAAAGTAGTAACTGATTGCACCTCGCATTCTTTGTAAAAATGATGGCTCTGTTCTATAGGCTGCATAGTGTTGACAGGTAATAGAGTGATGATGATTACCTTGCTGACGAATAGTTTTGTAGTCACCGAGACACCTTCAAATTTTTAGAAAGGGTTTAAAAAAAATATTTCGAAATGATGAAAGCATTATGCAGTATATTTGAAATACAGTATATATATTTACAGCCAGCAAAATTCATGTCCACAATAACACGTCATGTGATCGCATCCTTCATTCTTCTCAATGGGACTTGCACATTTTGGACATTGTTTTGTATGGCGCTCATAATAGGCACGAGTAGCCGTATTACTTCGGGTACTTAATATTTCGTCGAATTCACCACATGTCAAGTCTTTATGCCAGGGAACATCGTGAGTGAAACAAGATTTCTCGCCACAAGCCTTGCACGTAACTATAGGTGAGTCATCTATAACCGATAATGCGTTAAATTATAAAGAATAATATAATGAGTGATGAATAAGGCATAGCATAATGAAAGGGTTACCTCCGGTTGTATGTTCCTGACCGGAACCACACTTTGGAGCTTTGCACCAACGAAAATTGGGAAGTTTGCGGATGACAGATATCATTAACAACCTATCATACCTTATGTCAATAAATGATACCGGTAAATGCATTTAATAGCTGTCATCAATGTTTTATAAAAAATGCGGAAATGGGAATTTACAATCAGTACCGAGTGAACAACTCTTTTGATGCTAGTCTATGTACATCATTGTAAGTTAGCTCAGCCTTACAACGAGGCTTTGGACACCGTAGTGGCGCATCAACACCTTTAGATTCCAATTCTTCTTTAATGTGTCCTAGGATGCAATCGGCACAAATGTCAACATTATGATTGCAGTCAGAAGTGATTTTCTTTATTGTTGAAAATCCTTCATAACAGATACAGCATTTTAATAGCATCATCGTCGAAGTTGGGAATATGGGAATATGTAAAAGTAGACGGGAAAACAAGATAGTGTGGATTAATGCGTTACAAGAATTCCTTAATTATTCAGAAAATTTCATGTAGGGCAAAAGCCGTTTTTATCCAAACCTTCCAAAACAAGATATTATTTTGGTAGATTCTTATAGATGGGCATTGTATCCTAAAATGTATAAGATCGCTCAAGCATGATTTCTATTTTTAATATATATTATTTGATTATTGATGATCAAGAATGTCTAATTATCTACATTATATCGTTGTGAAGTATAAATAAGTCCAGTTTCCCATGTTGGAGCAAAGATATGTTAAATACCAAGAAACTCCAGGAGATTAAAAAATAATATGAACCATTGTAAATTAAAAGAAAGGAGCTGTTACATGTGAATCAGCTTAGAAAAGCAAAAAAAAATCTGGACAGACAACAAAACAAAAATGCCCAGACCACGAACTCATCAGGAACATTGGATAAGATCCTCACCTCCATTTTGGGAATGAGATATTGAGGAGGTAAGAAGGATCGGTTCTATGAATTTGTATACGAACTTGTTAAACAGATTTATGACTAGAATAGTGCTAAGATCATGGATGTCAACGTTAGCGACACTGAATCTGGTAAGCTTTCCAAGGATCCATTATTAATCGTTATTATCTTTTTTTACAAGACACAATCAACTGGTAACTGAAAACAAAAGTTACTTGAATAATGAGCACTTTACAAGTAACAAGCTCCTCTGGATAAAAGAGACCCCTAGGGAAGTACGTTCGTACGCGATTAGACAATTGATGAGTACATATAAAACAAACAAAAAGTTGCATGGAAATAATTTCGAATGAGTACCGATCGAAGAAAGATCTTTGCCGAGGATTGGAGGGAAATACGTGTTCTTAAAGAATATGATCACTATTAGATATAAATAATACGACAATTAATATACTGTAACTACGAATTATTTGAATATCATCGATAACCAAGATGATGTTCAGGAAAAGGTAATCTCGCTCGGTCCAGGTGTTCGCCCGTTTATTATCAGTTATAATCCTAAGGTCAATTAATTGAGTGGGCAATAATGATTTGAATAAATCAAACTATCGAAGAAATATGACGAATTACATAATGACAAAGATCTCGCTTTGGGAAAATCAAACAAAAAAAAAAGAAACTTTGATTCAGAAAAAAATTACCATGAATCATATAATGATTCGTAGTTTAATTGAATTTTTGAAGATGGTTTTAAAGAACAAATGAAAGATTTGATCAAAGACAATTATTCTTGTCAACATTTTACTTATTATTGGTTATAAAAAAAAATATCTCGAACTAATAAAAAAAATTATTCTTCTCAACATTTTTACTTATTATTATTTCAAACAAAAGCTATAATAAGTAAATAAATAAAACGTTAAATATGATTAATACAAATAATGTAAAACAATGTATTTATAATAATAGTTTTTAATTAAAAATATTTTTAAATGGAAATTTCACAAAATTTAATATAATAACTTAAAGCACTTGATCGAATTTATTTATTTTATTTAAAAATTTAAAAATCAAATCAAATATTGTAGAAATCGTATATAGTACGTAAATACGATATTTTAATTATAATTATTTTTTTAAAAAAACATCATTTTAAATTGATAAACTCAATTAACTTTTTAAATAACCCAAATGATGGCACCTCTTAAGATAAGAGGGATATCGAGAAATATTTTATCAAGAATATGTCGAAGCAAATTTATCCTAAAAAATTGTATATAAAAAAATTACATGATTTCTAAAAAATTGATTTGTAAATATTTTTTAAAGAATATAATGTATGTCAAAAAATATTATTAATTAAAGATTTTTAAAATTATATTAATAAATTCAACAATGTAAAAATTTAAAATTCGCTTAATAATTAATAAGATGACGAATTAAGTTTTAATTAGACTAACCGTTAATTATTTTAAAGATCGAAAATTTATATATACGTGTACAAAAAAGAACGTGTGCCACTTTGCGCCACAACTATGTTATAAGGTTGTAAAATTGTATTTCGTTTCAATTACTGAATTTATCAATTAGAATTATTTTTTAAAAAAAGAAAAAAAAATTTTTTTGATTAATTTTTTATTATTTAAACAAATTCGTTTTTTAAAAGTTTATGAAAGAAAAAAATTCTTTTTTTTTTGTTTTTAAAAAGTAAAATATTTTTTTTTATTTTTTTGAAGAAAAATATTGTAACATACAGTATACAGTACAATATATTATTATTAAATATTAAATAATGTATTTGTCATATAAAATTTCATAAAATAATTTTCTTTGATAATAAAAAAAACATAAAATCTTTGATATGTATAAACAAAAATATTAATTGATTGTTTGTGAAAAATCCAACACATAAAATTTCTAACTTGTGGTTTTTAAATATTAGCTTTAGGCATCGTTGCTCGCCAATGTTGACGTTAATTGACAAGCTTGTTAACTCAGACCAATATCTTTGTAGCATTATTATCTTTTGAATTATTATGCTGAGGCGTTTATACAGTATTAGCAGAATGGAACGATAGTATGTCAATGAATGATCACGCCACTTTCTACCAATACCATGGTAGCTTGCAACATCATGGTTTTCATAATGTGTCTCTCATGTATGATAAAAAGTCATCAAAAAAGCGCAACTATTCTCGTCATATATTCATGTCTATCATACATATTTTCATATTTTCATCAAACCGTGACACGATCACATGTCACGGCAGCAACTAATTTACTTCTAAGAAAATTGTTTGTCGATAAACAGCACAGGACCTATTGCACTTTATACTATGCATAGCTTTTTAAATCATATTAATGATAGTATGACGAAATGAATTCATAAATATTAAAAATCAGAATTGCTCAAAATTATAAACAATATAAAGTTCGAGCCGCTAGAGTTACAAGACAACGCTGTTACAGTAGGTATTGCGTAAAATTATTCTAAGATTGAAATATTACTCGATAAAACATACCTTGCTCTGCAAAACGCATCATAATCTTACGGCTTGGTTGATAAAAGACGTGATAAACTAGCGATCCTAAATTCTACTAGTCTTATGTATTGGTTTAACTAAAAAATGGACGAGTAAACTTTATCTTTATTATCAATCAATTTTCGTTTTATATAATGTTAATACACTGTATAGCATTTATTTACTCTTTACATTACCACAAAAATATTCCAATTAATTTAAAGTATTATATTAAATAATTATTATATTCAATATTTTCGGTTATAATATTCATTCACTCTAAGAAGTAAATATTAACTAGGAAAACGGAAACCATGGTAAGTCCGAAGTTTAAAAGTTTACTATTTCAGATTTGCGTATCAATTGGAGTAAATAATTTTATCGACTCAATTATTAAGCGGGGAACGCGGATTTTGCGTCGAAATATATAGTAAATAAATTTAAACTACTATATCTAATTTGAAAATCATAACTGGTCTGTTTAATTATAGAAATCTGTGATATACGTGAGATGATATTTAACATTTCGGTGTTTTACATGGCAGACTAAGTAGGTAATGATACTTTATACTGTATCGGGTGGTCTTTAATTTATTTTCATTCAAATATCAATAAAAAGCATTATGAAACACTTTGTATATATCTCCTGAAAAATATTTGTCATTGCGTATAAAAGAAATGAATCTTCCATAAAATGCGACTCACTTTCATAAATTTTTCGTGAAAATGTTTAAACGATCATTTGTAATAATAATCGTTATTGCATTCCAATTGTTCGTTCAGACCTCTGCTACTTGCGACGTTTGTCAGGACGTAATAAATACGTGGAAGAACTGTAGTGAAGGAAAACTTGATATAGATAATCCTAAAGTATTGGCGTGCGGCTGTACCGAGACGAACTATGAAAAATTTGAAAAGTAGAAATCCATTCGTTTTTTATTTACTTTGAGAAAAACGCACGAATCATCAATATGTCTCATATTATTATAACAATAGTTGTTACGATTGCCAATCCGCACAAGGTAATTGGCCTTCAGAATATCCTACTCCTGCACGTAAGTTCTATTTATTATTTATTTGTTTCTTTACGTTTTTTGATCAGTTCTCAATTCCATTATTTACTTAAATAGAAGCTCTGAAGATATGTCAAAGATCTGGGTATTTGAATCCATCAACCACAACTGGGAATGATAGCGCAACTGGTACGACTAATGAAGTTTCTTCTGTGACAAATAAGTCTTCTGCTGCTAAAATACACCCATACACGAGCCTGATTTTCGGCGTTGCAGGAGGGTTCTCCTTGTTGATCTTCTCAATCATTTCAATTTAAATTGGTCCGACATTTAACCACCGTAATAGAAAAGAAACCTTTAATTTTGTAATATTCTAACACTTTGGAAAAAAAAATTTTCTCAAACTACTTATCACATTAATTTTGTCTTATTGAGTTGACGTCAACGGTATTTCATTGATTTTACCATAATATTTATTGAATATGAATATTAATAATAGTTAAAATAATGATTTATAATAGCGTAATTAAAGTAATTTATATTATTAGGCATAAAAAAATTTTTTTAATGAATGCGCATTAAATCAATTTTTAAAAATCTTTACTTTATTATTGATTTTTATTTATTAAATAAAGCTTTGATAATTACTTGTTTAATCTCTCTCTCTCTATCGAATCGTTTTTAAATCATTTATATTGTTTGTTGCAAAATACAGTGTATGGATTTTTGATCGATCGATCTTATGATAGAATGGAAAGATTGTACGTTAATAAATTTAACATACTGTATATACATGTATGTACTGTATGTATTTATTTATTTATGTATAGTACGATTTTTTATTATTATTAAAAAAATTATATTATTAAAAATAAATTTATTATGTTTAATATTAAAAAATTTTATTGCTATTATAAAATAAGATAAAAAAATTTTTTATTAACTTTTTTTGTTATTTTTATTATTATCAAATATGAAAAAATTATTCCATTTGAAACTTTATTATATTTTCTTAATATAAATATCATAGATAAATTTTGTAACTTTACAAAATTATAAATTATATCAAAACAAAATTAATTAAAAAAAAATTTTTTTTAAAAAAAAATATTAATTATTTTTACTTGAATATATAAATTTTAAATTATATTTTAATAACAAATTGACTTATTTCTATTTAAAATTGGTATTAAATACTAACTGGTTTTAATTATATAATAACAAAACTTATAATACCAATGTAATATATATAATTATTGCCAAGTTATTATATAAAATATGTTCAAAGTATAAAAATTTATTAATTCTTAACATATTAACAAATTTCAATAAATCAAGTTTATATTAAAAAATTATTGCTATAAAATACTAATTAAATTTTTCAAGTTATAAATTTTTATTTTTAAAATTTATATATACTGTATATGATTTTGATTCAAATATTTAATAAACTAACAATAATCATTATTTTCTTTAACACTAATTAAACTTTATCCAATTAA